CCACGATGGTAACATTTCAATAAAATTATCAATGAAGTTGTGTTGTGCAGACTTTGTAAAGAAAACAGCAGGTGGAATAATAGTTATTTCCAAAGCTGTATGTCTGTACCACATCATTCTGAAATCTTTAAAGCCTCACGAATGAAGCAGAGTAGCTGGCTGTGTTCCAGCGGAGCTAAAAAAGACTCAGGTTATGCTGTGTCAAATGAGTCTCTTGGGGAAATAATAAAGTGCAGCTGTGTGTGGAAAAGTGTGTTGTAATGATGGTCCTGCACAAGGCTGTTTAAAGGGATGGTCATTATGAGCATTACCATTAAAAACAATGACAGTGGTCTTTCACCTTTAGAACACGTACATGCATTTAAAAGCACTCCAGCTGATTGGGGTCAGAGGTCACGCTCTCTGCCATCTCTGTAGTGGAACATCAAATGGATGCTCTTTCTTAAAGAGGAGAGTGAAGTCAATATCATTACCGGCACTTGAGATTGTCACTTTAAATAGAGTGGTCACGGTAGCCGTGGAGGACACTGAAGCTTCATGTGTGAGGCTGAAATCATCGCCTTCATCTCACGCCGAGGTGCGTGGTGATGTCATCGCAGCGTAGACAGAAACTGGAGACTCATAATGCCATGAGAGAGATAGACGGCAGTGTGGCATTAGCGAATGAGCTCCCAGATTACACCCACAGTCCCTTGGCCCATGCTTATACACACACACTTCCTTCATGACGGATTGGGTATAATCCTCATCCTGAGCAACAGCGTCAGACAGCCGTGATTCGAGACAATGACAATGACATATCTAGTGTGCTGGATTAGGAGGCAGCAAGGGATTTCTAGCCTCCATCCGTTGGGTAGAATCTGCAGTTACATGTTGCTTTTTTATTTCCTGTTTTCAAAAACAACCACCTCTCACATACTTCTGTTCACACATCGATGCCATGCTCCATGCCACTGTGTTCTCAGGCAATTGTGTGGAAGAGAATGGAGATGTGAGCACCTCATCTACATTCATGCATCAGCTTATCTTTAGATAAAGAAACCAAACAGGGGTTTTACACATATGGTTTGTAATACTGCTGACGATTTCCCTCGACACTGTATTCATCACAAAGTGACTTTATTGTACCACACTTTAAAGAATCCATTTACATTTCCTTATTTCTATATTCTATATTTAAGTGAACATTTGAACAATTTTAAAGGATGCTCATCGACTTGATTGTTGAAAGTTGAATCACAGCATGAACACTGGTTGTGCCTGTGTTGACTTAAAGCAGTAGTTGTGTTTCCTTGTGACTGTCAAGCCAATTTGAAGCAAATGTTTGAAATGTTGCATAAAATTTACAACGGAAAATGTAAATTAAGCTAGTTTCCATTAACTTCTGTTCACTGAGGTTGGTTAGGTCAGTTATAATGAGCAGCTCAGCAAAATGCTCGTGGATTATTATGAATACTTGTTTCTACCAAAATGTGATATTTTACATTTAACTAAAAACACCATTTCTTCCTAACCTTTTTTTTCGAATGTGCAGATTTATGAATTTACTGCCTCACTCTCTACACATCTCCCCAGTCATTGCATCCCGAGCACACCAGCTCACCTACAACTCTGCTCAAGCATTGTGAAGCTACGCTGCACTTGACAATGGTAAATTGCAACATTGGAGTAATTCAGACATACGTGTTAAAAAGCCCTGCAAGTTGACAGGATTGGTTCTTAGATTTGTTACATATGAAACTCTACCGTGTGACTCAGCTGTGGTGTTAATCAATTGTTTTTTTATTATGTTATTAATCCAGATTATAAAAAATACCATATGGACATGTTAACAAGGTAAAAAAAAATAAAAAATCTGCTTTTCACCAGAGGCTCTTACAGAAAGACCTCTGACCTGCAGGCTTGAATCCAGAACCTTGTTGCTGGGAGGCGACAGTGCTGATCATTGCACCACTTTTGGCCTGTATTAACTCCAGCAAAGTGATATCACCATTTAGCACCCAAAAATGATGCAAACGTTAAAGCTTTGTCAGAATGTTTGCCTCATTTACAATCGGTTCCACAGGTGATGACATCAAGAGAATCAGATCAGAAGTCTTGATTTCACAGTCACTTGCTTGCCTCTCTCACATCATACCTTTCCTCCCTCTGTTGACACACACAGGGACACACACTGCGTTTGTAGTATGATGTTACACCTGCCTTTGATGTGTTGTTCGTCCAGTCATTGTCCTGTAAATCATCCCAGGATTCCATGTTTATTCCTTTCTGCGTGGAGCATTGAAG